ATGATGCAAATAAGATGATCTTTTTATGGAACTTGCAGGCTAGAAAAATTGATAAGCTAGAAATTAAGATATATAACAATGTATAAATAAAGAATAATGGAAATATACAGAAAATACAAGTAACTATGACCTAAGAGATAGATAAAATTTAGGAACATAGGTTTTGGAACCAGGATGTCAAGATTAGAATCCTGGTACTGTCATTCACTACCTATAGTCCTGGGCAAATTATGTACCTTTGTTTTCCTTCCTATTAAAAGTAGGATGCTGATGCTGATAGCTTTACCTCTTGGTGTCATCATAGTAACTAATGAGTTGGCATTTTAAAGAAACCAGAAAGAACTAACTAAGTGTTAAGAGAAAATAATTAAAATATAGGGAGGTAGCTCAGTAGTGGTGTGAGTGTATGGTGTCCTCATTAGGGTCCTGATTCAATCCCTAACTCCAAAGCAATAAAAGTATAAAAATAAAATTAAATAAATCACAACATATCCTCAAAATTTCATTTGTATGTAAGATTTTCCCTTGTTACCAGGTATTGGGTATTGTAAGTAATCCAGGGATAATTTAAAGCATATGAGTGGGGTTGTGTAGGTCATGGACAAGTGCTACTCTTATTGGAAAACAATTATCATTTGTGAATTTTGTCATACACAGGACCCTAGAACCAATGGCCACTTACAGAAAAAATGAAAATAAGTATCTTTCTTTAAACAAAGAAGACTTAGAGTTCAAAATCATTCTTTGAAAGGCAAACAGAATCTCAAGGAAATGAGAAAGAGAAAGAGCAGAAAATACTCTAAAGTCAAGACAAAAGCAAGTATTACAGGTGTCTGTTGTATTTAAGACAGTATTTGTAGATGACCCTGAATAATGTCTGCTAGAATATGTACCACTCTTCTATGTGTATCCAAACACATGGTGCCGTGGTTTGATAGAGAATGCCTGCCAGGGAATCTTATGTTTGAGTATTTGGTCCCTAGTTGGTGGGACTATTTGGGAAGGATTAAGAGGCATGGATTGTTGCAGAAGAAGTGTCTCTTGGGGCAGTCTTTGATGTTTCAAAAGACTCATGCCATTCCTACAGTTTTCTCTTTGCCTGCCTCCAATTTTGAGATCAAGACGTGAGCTCTCAGCTGTTCCTGCCACCAGACATTTGCTCCACCATCATGGAGTCTAACACTCTGAAAACATAAGCCCCAAGTTATGCACCTTTAAAAAACATTGCCTTGGTCGTATGTTTTATTACAGCAATAGAAAAGTAACCAAGACACATGGCAACTGAGCTGACCTGCCTGTCTGAGCCTCCTTTGTAGTTTGGTTTGGCCTTGACAATTTCACAGATGTATTGAGAGCAGAGTTTTTGTTTACTGCTTTCTTGTCTGGGAAAGAAGCACTCTAAATGGTCAACTTTTCCCCAAGCCATCTGAAATATAGTTATGATAGTGAGAAGTCACAGCCATACAGACTATTAGTTTGCCATAGGGAATGTGGGAGCAGTCATTTGGAGTAAAATCTGATTCTACAAGGACCATCAGGGCAAAGCTGCTTTGTTTGCATAGCCATTTGCATTGACACTGTCACACGAAAGAGTAAGACCTTTTTCAAAGCATTGTGTAGTTGCATTTCTTTGATTTGGTAATATAGCATTATTTAATTTACATTATATTTAATATACATTATTTAATGTATACAGACATCTTTTATGACCTTAAAATGCCATTTTCAGAAGGATGGTTGCAAGGAAAATGAAACTGTCCTTGGTTAAGAAGTTTGAGGGATGTGGAAGCAAATGAAGGTAGGAAAAAGGTCAAGAAATATATAAATGAAAAAGAAGTTCTAATAGCTGATGAGAACTATAGACCTAGCTTTTAAAAGAATGGAGAAACTTGAACATATTTTTAATGTTGGTGTTTAATGTTTACTAGAAAGGGAGAAAATTAAAATACAGAAAGGATAATCAATGTAGAGGCCCCAGAGGTCAGTTAAATACTGGATCCAGAATACAGAAAGGGATTGAACTTGGTATGAGGCATCCCAGAATGAGAAAAGTATGGCTTATGCTGCCAAGGTGTAGACTTGGTACAGGAAACTAAAATAATTAACATTTGATGGGTTCTATTTGTTATTAAGGTTCATGAGGCAAGTCCACCTGCTGAGTAATTGAGTGAGAGAATTAAAGCAAGATAATCAAGCTTTTAGTAGTTGTAGACACTGGGAGGGAAAGGTTATTGGGAAAATTATAGGGGAATTTTGTGGCCTTAAATCTAAATACACATTAAGTTATTTATTTTTTAATTGTATATATGTATATGTGTGTGTATGTATCTGTGTGTATGTGTACAGGAGTGCAGGTACCTGAGGAGGCCAGAAGAGGGTGTTGGATCCCTTGCAGATGGAGTTACAGGAGACTGTGATCTGTTGGATGTGCATTCTGGGAATGAACTCAGGTTCTTAGCATGAACAGCTACTTAACCACGGAACAGTCTCTCCATACCCCTCAATATAGTTTTTATACGAAAAATTCATAGTGGCAGTGGTGTTAATAACTTCATCCGTTTTGTCTTAGGGTGCTGCAATCCAGGTATAAGAGGAGAAAGAAAATAATTGCATCCATATTAAGTGGAGTTTTGTCAAGTTGTTTTAGTGAAGGAAATTGAACAAGGTAATTGGGGATCAGGGCACAAGTGTGAGTGTGAGCAGGAAAGCAGGGATTGGTTGGATAAAAAGGAAATTTAGAGCAGGAACAGGAGCTGGTTGAAACATTGTAGCTGTGTCAAGTAGAGGAGGTTATGACAAGGTCAAAGGTATGATAGGAGTAGCAGCATGAGAAGATTTAAAGGCACAGAAGTTGGTATTCCCAGAGGGAGATGCCTAGTAACTACATCACAGGAAGGGCAGTCCTTGGTGGAGAAGTGCAGCATAAGAGCTGACTGGTGAAAACCAGACTATAGATGAAGAGCTGTGGTCTGAACAGCCATGTGTTTAGATTAAACAGTGCACTGGACCAGGGATGGAAGCCGATTATGGGTTAGAAAGGAGATGATAACAGTCCATTTATAAGTTAAAATGTCCTAATAACACAAGTCCTTTACTTCCAGTACTTGTAGGCAATCATAAGTTAAACTTCTAGTTGGCTTTTATAATTAAGAGGTTTCAAGAAAATCCATTCTTGGAGGTTGTATCTTTTTTTTTTTAACATGTATTTCTAATCAACTTTCCTCCATTGCCTATGAGAGCTTTTTCTTTCTTTCTTCCTTTTATTATTGTGTCTTCCCTCTTTTTATTAATTAAATTTATTTATTTTTATTTGTTTTACATATGGACCACAGTTTCCCCTCCCTCCTCTCCTCCTATGCCCCCCCACCTCCCATCTACTTCCCATCAACTTCTCTGGCTCCTTTCAGAAAGGGGCCAGCCTCTCATTGGTGTCAACAAAGCCTGGCACACCAAGTTGAGGCAGGATCAAACTCTTCTCCCTGCATCAAGGCTGGGTGAGGCAACCCAGCATGGGGAATACGTTCCCAAAAGCCAGCAAGTGTCAGGGACAGGTCCTGATCCCACTGCTGGGAACCCCACAAACAGCAAGCTACACAACTGTCACACACATGCAGAGGGCTTATGTTGGTCCCATGCAGGCTCCCTAGCTGTTGGTCCAGAACCAGTGAGCTTCCACAAGCTCAGGTCAGCTGGTTTCCCCGTCATGACCTTGACCACCACCTCCTCTGGTTCATACGATGAGAGCATTTCCTTAATTACTTATAATTTACAGTAGTTGTTTATTATAAAATTGACCACTACACCTTGATTTGAATGCACTGTGTTTAAATTTAGCTGTCACAAACATATTTGAAGTCTTAGAGAAAGCCTTGCTTTCAGCAAAGCATTTTGGAAGATTGGTTGGTTACTTGTATGTGAGCGTGGGAGCTCATGAAGGCTTGGTTACTCTCCACTAGAGTGTGGAAACACAATTTCTTCCAGAAATAGGGAAATCTTGATGCTCATATATCTGGAAAGCTTGAAGCAAGACAAGTACCTGGACCTTCTGTTTTGTCTGGAGGGTTCTTCTACCTTGGCGGTTTGAATTTCTCTTTACACTTTCATCATCATTGATAAGAGAAGGCCCAGCTTACTTGGAATCATAGGCTTTTGGAGACATTGTCCATTACGTTGGACATCTTTGTTGAAATAGAGACACCATAATATCCTGCCATTTGAAGTATAGAGTTTAATGGTTACTCCTATATTTTCAGAATTGTGCAACTCCTACCATTATTTCTAACTTAAAATGTTTTCATTGTCCCCCATATAAATTGTAACCAACTAGTCCGCACTCCTATACATTTTCCCAACTTTATACAACCACCAAGACATTTTCTGCCTCCATATGCTTTGATTATTTTGTATAAACAGAATTATAGAATATGTGATTTTTAAAATGACATTTTTTTTATTCAGCATAATATTTTTGTGAGAGCACCAAACCCTAACCAGTACACTGCCAAAGAACATCAAAATTAGCACCGTATTTTTGAGATTTCCCATGGTGTATGTGCTGGTGAGTTTATGTCAACTTGACACAGGCTGGAGTCACTGGAGAGGAGGGAGCTTTAATTGAGAAAATGCCTCTGTAAGATGGGGCTGTAGGCAAGCCTGTAGAGAATTTTCTTAATTAGTGATTGAAATGGGAGAGCCCAGCCCATTGTGGGTAGGGCCACTTCTGAGGTGGTGATCCTGGGTTCTATATGAAAGCAGGCTGAACAAGCCTTGGAGAGCAAGCCAGTAAGCAGCACTACCCCATGGCCGCTATGCCAGCTCCTGCCTCCAGGTTCCTACCCTGTTTGAGCTCCTGCCCTCCCTTCAATGATAAACATTGATGAGGAAGCTTAAGCCTGATAAACCCTTTCTTCCCTATGCCGCTTTGGTCATGGTGTTTCATTACAGCAGTAATAACCATAACTAAAACTGCACACTGTATTACACTCATTTTATTGCTCACTAAGAATTGCTGGGCAGTAGTGGCGCATGCCTTTAATCCCAGCACTCAGGAGGCAGAGCCAGGCGGATCTCTGTGAGTTCCAGGCCGGCCTGGTCTACAGAGCGAGATCCAGAACAGGCACCAAAACAACACAGAGAAACCCTGCCTCAAAAAAAATTAAGAATAATTTCATTACATGGAAATACCATATTTGGTTTATCTATTTATCAGTTGATGGATATTTGGGTTGTTTAATTTTTTTAGTGTTAGGTACAGCACTGATATGGACATTTGTTCATAAATGGTTTTGTGTAGATATATACCATTTCTTTTAGATCGGTATATAGAAATTGAAATCCTGAGTAACAGAAGATTTACATATATATATACATATATATATATATTTAATATTTTGAAGAACAGACAAGCTACTTTCCAAAGCACTGTACCATTTTTTTAAATTTCTACAGCACCAGTATTCCACTTTTTCTACATCCTGTCAACACTCATTATTTTCTTGTTTGTCCTTTTCATTATAGCTGCTCTGGTGCCTGGGAAGTGGTCATTTACAGGGTGTTTTTGTTGTTTGCTTCTGTAATCTGTGTATCTTGTCTGATAAGCTATAATGTTTTAATTGGTCCTCCACTAATCTAGTCCCCACTCAGTAACATAATGAGAGGAGGTAATCTTAGTATTTGGTTTTGATTTACTGCTATTCTGTGAATTTTGTTCTCTATAGAAAGGAGGTTTCATTTAAAGAAGAGAACTTGCTTCAACTTCTACTTCTCAAAGTAGGAAATTGAATTTAACTAGCCTGTATCCACATTTTGCCTGGCTGCAAAGATTCCATAGTTCAATGGGCCAATAATGAAATTCTAGCTTTCAAAAATTACGAACACGCTGGGTGGTGGTGGCGCATGCCTTTAATCCCAGCACTCAGGAGGCAGAGGCAGGCAGATCTCTGTGAGTTCAAGTTCAGCCTGGTCTCCAAAGCGAGTTCCAAGAAAGGCACAAAGCTACACAGAGAAGCCCTGTCTCGAAAAACAAATCAAAACAAAAAAAAGTATGAACACTAGGTTGTCTTGGATATTGAAGGGATTTTAATAAAAATTAATTAGCTAATATTCAGTGTTAAATATCTTCAAGAGGAAGTTTCCAGCACTGATTCCAGCTTGTGGGACTGGAAGGATCATCACCTAGTCCCTCCCCTTCTTACTGTCATGGCTTACCATCTTTCTGTCTCCATGGCGACTCTTTTTCTCATCTGCATTTTCCTTTGCCTACACATACAGACTTCAGACTTTTTAGGAAACTCACAGGAAACTTCATCTCCAACCATTATATTTTTCTCTGTCATGTTGTCAGACCATTAAGGACAAGAACCATTATAGGCTGGTCCTTCTCAACACAAGATCAAACTCCCCTTTGTGGCAGTTGAATTTAATTTTTAAAAAAAATTAGAACCTGAATTATGATCTCTCGAGACTTCTCAGTGTTACACATATATGACACTTTCATACATGCAAATTAAAAGTGGTCAACAGTCTTTTGGATGCTGCTCTTCAGTAGAGTCCAGGACCAATTTAGTCGCTTGTGACCGTATCAGGAAGTTTAAGCAAAGGAATAAAATAGGAAATTTCAAGCTCACAGTATACTAAGTACTGAGCACAAAACATTCCTTCCTGTTTGGTTTGAATGTTGCATAACACACTCAGCACTCAGGAGGCAGAGGCAGGCAGATCTCTGTGAGTTCACACATGGCATAATCTTATGTGTGAATTAGTACTCGGTGCATATTCATTTTTTCAAAGAGAACATAAATAAAAAGCTTGCTTTCCTCTACGGCCACAGTATTCATGTGCCTCCCCAGCCACCTTCCAAGACACATAAGATAAAGTTATTAAGAAGCTCATTACTGTCCCCACTTCTTTATTCTGTGTTGTGATCTATCTGGGGACCTATGACTGAGCCATTCCTAGACCCACTACGGGCTCCTTTTCAATGGGCCTAATGGCTGTATCACAGTATAGATTTTCCAACATATCAATACAGTCAACATTAACAAACATTTAAACATAATATCTCAACTAGGGTGTTTTTTTTTTTAAATAAACTTACTTGAAAATAGCATCAACAATAATAAGCCACAAGAAGAACTACCGAAAGAGCGACAATGAAAGATATGCTTGGACATTTCAACTACCCCTGCAGTGGTCTGTTTATTTCATCGTAAGCACAGTGAAGGGGAAGGTGCAACTGGAGAAGACAGATCGGGTGATTTTGTGTTGTTTAAGGAGATAAAGTCTTTACAAGGTAGAGAACCGGCCACAGAATAAATTAGCATCTTATTACAAGTGCTGACATAAATTGAAAAGTGGGAGGCACAAAGGAACTGTAAATACTAGCAGATGTGAAGATCATGCAAACTGGGAGAAATGCGCACTGCCTTGGGATAGCCATGCAATGAAACATATATGAAATATAGCATCAGTTATGGTCACTAAATAACCCAAAACTATTGTGGAGAGTAGGGCTTTCCTCCAGTTCTTTTCCAGGGAACTGGGGTGGTAGATTGGGGGGTATTGGCTTCAGGAATTTGAACTCATTTGTGCCAGTACCTCCCATCAGACACACCTCATACTGGTAGCTCTGGGACAGGGTCCCTGCCCCACTGACATCCACCAGGTGGCCAGGAAAGTGTCCCTCAGGCACAGAGCAGCCACCTAGAGAGGCCGCCCTGGCCCTCCTGCACAGCCTCACCCCCACGAACAGCAGCACAGACAAGAGGAAGATGGAAGACACAGAAGCCAGGGCAATGACCAGGTACAGAGTGAGCGCGTCGTCGTCCTGTGCGGGGTCGCGCGCCACCTCTGGCAGAGGCAGGTAGGGCTGAGAGAAGCCATCCACCAGCAGCACATGCAGAGTGACACTGGCAGATCTTGGAGGATCTCCATTGTCCTTGACCAGCAGCAGCAGCTTGTGCTTGGGAGCATCGCGCTCACTCAGCAGCCTGGAGGTGCGCACCTCGCCATTGTGAGCCCACACACTGAACAGTCCGGGCTCTGTGGCCTTGAGCAGCTGGAAGGACAGCCAGGCATTCTGTCCAGAGTCGCGGTCCACTGCCACCACCTTGGTGACGAGGTAGCCTGGCTCTGCTGCCCTGGGCAGCAGCTCTGTGTAGGGTGCAGAGGTGTTCTGCAGCGGGTAGAGCACGAAGGGCGCATTGTCGTTGGCGTCCAGCACCAGCACTCGCACCAGCGCCTGGCTGCTGAGCGCAGGAGAGCCTTGGTCTGTGGCGCCCACGTGGAACTCGAAGGCCTGCAGGGCCTCATAGTCCAGCGCCCTGAGCGCGAACAGCTGCCCATTTTCTGCATTGATAGAGATGAGCGAGTCCAGGGCCAGTTGCAGGTCGTGGGTGGGCAGGAGCGAGTAGGTGATGTGGGCATTGGAGCCTGAGTCTGAGTCTGTGGCGCTGATGGTGCCTATGTGCAAGGCGGGGCTGTTGTTCTCTTGGACAAACAGGGTGTAGGAGGTTTGTGTGAAGGCGGGGGCATTGTCGTTAACATCAGCCACCTGCACTGTTATGGTGTGCTGGGTTGTGAGCCTGGGTGTGCCCATGTCGGTGACTGTGATGGTGATGTTGTACTCAGCTCTGCTCTCTCTATCCAGTGCTCCCTCAGTTTCTAAGTGGTAGTAATTTTCAATCGAAGATTTTAGCACAAATGGGAGGTCCTCCAGAATAGAACAGATCATCCTGCTGTTCTCTCCTGAGTCCTTGTCTTGGGTACTAAAAATCATAACTAAAGTCTCTGGGGTGTTTTCTGGGATTGGACTGATAAATGATGACACAGCAATTTCAGGAGAATTGTCATTCACATCCATCACCTGAATTCTTACTGTAGATTTCCCAAAAAGTCCTCCCCGATCTGTAGCCTTAATGATTATTGAGTAGGATTCAGTTGTTTCAAAGTCCAAATATCCTATTAACCGTATTTCTCCAGAGTTTTTATTAATTGCAAATGTCTTTTGAATATCCTCTGATGCATGAGAAAAGGCATATGAGAGTTCACCATTAATTCCCGAGTCTAGATCCCAAGCTGATGCAGTGATAACCAGTGAGCCAAGGATGCTATTCTCTGGAATCTTCACTTCATAGAACATGTGCTCAAACTCGGGGGAGTTGTCATTAATATCTATGACTTCCACCCGAACCAAGGCAGTCCCAGACCTGGGTGGAGTCCCGCCATCCAAAGCAGTGAGGATGAGACTGAGCTGTGGCTGCTCCTCGTAGTCCAGTGCCTTGTCCAAAACTAACTCTGGGTATTTCCTGCCATCAGGATTAACTCTCATTGTAATGTGGAAATGAGAGCTCTGGCTTATGATGTAGTTTTTCACAGCATTGGGTCCTACATCTAAATCCGTCGCACTTTCTAGTAAGAACACAGAACCAACTGGGCTATTCTCTGGGATTTCTAGAACCATTTCCTTTTCCAAGAATATGGGGGAGTTGTCATTTATATCCCTGACCTGAAGCTCAACTTGCAAAATCTGTAAGGGGTTTTTCATTAACACCTGGAAATGCATCAGGCAGGGCTCGGTGGAGCCACACAGCTCCTCCCTGTCTAATGGTTCGCTTAGGAGCAAATCTCCTGTATTTATGTTCAAAAGCAAAGGCAGTTTGTTATCCTTAGAGACCACTTGAGCCCCCCGTGAAGACAGCTCAACTACCTCGAGCCCCAGATCCTTTACCAAATTGCCTACCAAGGCCCCGCTCAGCGTCTCCTCCACCACCGAAAGTCTCCCAGGCTCAGCGTGCGTTTGAGACATTCCCAGCAAAACAAAGAGAAGCAGGACTTGCCTTGTCTGTGGATACTTTCCCCCTCGGTTCTCCATAGCTCCTTTCCGGCAGGCTTCTGAAAGAATCACTTCTGCCTCACCATGCAGTTCTGTAAAATATGTCCCTTGATTTGTCCACAGAATCCTCGGAATCCAACGGATGAAAGGTTTTTAGGTAGCACCTTTCACGGCCTGTTATTTCTTCCTAGTTTTCCGTGCTTGCTTGGGCTGTGTGTCCGCAGCATTGAACGTGATTTTTTTTTCTGTAACATGGTCCTGCAGCGCCACCATGTGTCTTCTCAGATTTTCACAGTTTGATGAATGCTACTTAAGTTCCACTTACATTGAACGTCCCTCAGAGACAAATATTTGTTGGTTTTGTGGTTACTAGCATATTTTTTTTCCATCAGTGTTCTCTATAGTTCATGATGATGTGAGTATTTGTTTTAAAGCACGTGTTAAGTATCTCAGGAATATAACACTGTTAAATTTAACACATCCCCCCTCACTAGACCTTGCTTAGGCAGAAAGGGAAAGAAAAAGTGTCTACATAAAGTTTCAGAGGTTCTCTTAGGGCTATGAAACTGCATTAGCCAGGAGATGGTACACATTAAGGAACATATTATATTAATTCATAGTTGTGTTCCAGTTTCTTGCAAGTGACAAAAATTCAGAAAGTTGTGTACAAATACAAATGTGCCATTTTGTGTGAAGTACACTCTCATTCCTAATGCTGACGTCCCTCAGGTTCCTAAAACATTCTGCCAACAATACACAGCAGTTTGGGAAGAAAAAGGAGAGACATTTGCTTTCCTAAAGAGAGTGAAAATTTAACCTCTGATGAAACCAATTAATACCGTGTTCTGGCTAGCGAAGTAACATACAGTTATTCAAATATAGCATCGTAGGGTTATCTTTTAGTCACAGAGTCTGAAGATCTGCCCTTTGCTTGTTTGACCCTAACTAGTGTCATCTCTGAAGCTTGTGGGTAGGGTATCCCTAACTGAAGATCAAGATTGCTACTGAAGGAGGAGACTGTTGGGAACAGATGCTAGAAGCTCATCAATTATATCCACTATTGAAAGTTTCAAAAGTACCCAGGAATGCATGAAACAGTTGGAGTTGAAAATGCAGTTTGAATTGAATTTTTAAAAATTTAAGTTCTGTATATGGTTGAAATAGAAAATAAACCAGCACAAAAGATAAAAACTGAAAGATGGATGTGCTGGTAATATGTAGTTATCCTTCTGCCTTTAAAATACCCAGGAAGCTGATAGGAAGGTAACAAAGTGAGAACTCATAAAATTAAAGTGTACACATGTGTTTGATGATAGAAAGCAGATGGAAGAAACTTACTATGAAGTTCAAGGAAATGTCTAAAACTCCATCACTGGAGATAGGGCATTTGACATGTTTGTCTCTCCGAATACCGTTCACATTCTAGATTTAGAGAAACTGGAAGATTAATGTTAATCATGAGATGAACAATTTATTATTTGTATTTACAGTAGTAAATTCTCTGTTCTCAGTGACTACAGAGACAGAAAAGTCACTCAAGGTAGAGAATGGATACTTGATGAGGAGAGATTAGCAAACCTTGTCTAGTCTGACATGTAAGTAGTGCTGAAGAAAAAGTATGAAATTAAACTAAAGGAAAGTAGAACTTTAGAGTTTTGAATAGTGAGATTTCAAGTCTCTTCTCAAGCAATGCTCTCAGACTGTAGAACACAAGGTCTATGGTGGACACAATCTCAGACAGTAAATAGTCCAGAATTCTAATCTGGAAAGTGTGGAAGTGCAAATAAATTATTACACTTACCGATGTGGGTCTGCCTACATAATACCTGTAGTCCCAATACTTAAGAGGCATAGTCATAAAGATTGCATATTTGAGGCTACCCTGTACTATATACTTGAAATCCTGCTTCAAAAGTTAAGAAAAGAAAGCAGAATAGATAGGGGACTTAAATGTCCCATACAAACTATATAATTTTGGTAAATTTCTTCAACTTCCCTGAATCACTCTTAATTTTTAAAGTGGCTGTATAACACTAACAATGCTGAACTAGTATATCTTTGTAATATATTCTAAGATGGAAAATTACAGATAAGAAAACATATTGCATTTACAAATTTTCTACCAAAAAGGAAAGCTTACATATAAAGATTGAATACTTAAATGGGCAGTGTAAGAAAGTAGAACCAGAGGCAAATAGGAACTACAAAAGGAAACATGCTTAGGATCTTAATAGAACCAGTCCAGTTAGTCAAATAGTTAATAAAAAGTTTTAGAAAATACAGGAGAGAAATTATGGCAAAATAAAATGAAATTTTTTCTCTGAACTGATAGTCTGAACATTGACAGGGTATATCCTTGTGAAAAGCTTAACAAAGAAATAGTCCCTGCTATGGCATTTTCAGACTATTGAGGTTAAGTTTTCCAGTGCTTTCGGATTGATTGGAAAAAATATTGCAGAAAATGGGATACTATTTAGAATAGAATTGTCCTTGTGAAAGGTGAGTCTATACAATTAAGAAAAAGAAAAGTGCTTTTTTAAGTATGAGAGAAATTTTCAAATTATACTTTTATACCCAGTCAAACTATCAATAAGACAAAAAATTGCTTCACTTATGTAAATTATCAAAAGTTGTTTTTTAAAAACTACCTCTGCATCTATTTTAATGAAATTGGGTTCCAACCAAGTAAGAAAGTAAATGCAGAAATGATACTGGGTTGTATAAAAGGTGGGCAGTGTGGGGAAAGTATTAAAAGCATGACAGCCATAGAGTAAACAGTCTAAACAAAGAAGAGCTATGAATAAAAGATCTCTAGGAATCAAACACAATTTATTTGTATTTTATATTTGAATATTTGAAGGAAAAATGTTAATATTTAAGAGGACTATGATGTGAAAAGTCATTAGAAAGAATGGAGGGTACTGCTTATGGTAACCCATTGCTTTGCTTGCTCACTTAGTGTGGAAAGAGAGGGGCACAAAAATCTCTAGCACAAAATAGAACTTTAGCCTGATCTAAAACAGCAGCTATCAGCTCTGGGGAAGATATCTTCTAAAAAAGAAATGTCATAATACTGTACTACTAAGTATACATAGATAAGAGACATTGGTAGGTAGACATTAATATTAGTTTCATTTCAGGGATGGTACTCATTTAGGAGGCCTTGGGTTTGATTCCTAGAAACCCACAGAAACAAAACTGACAATATTTTCTGACACTTCTACCAGGAAACTAGAAGGGAAATGTGCAGCTTTTGTGTGTGTGTGTGTGTGTGTGTGTGTGTGTGTGTGTGTCTAAGGTGGGAAATAAGAACTGTAAATCCTTTTGCAACGAGTGGGTAACACATAAAAGTTGACTATTAAGATAAAGCAGTCAAAATACATCACTTGGAAGTAGATCAAATTTGAAGAACAACTGTGTTGAAAGGAACTGGAGATAAAAATTATTTTCTCTACAAGCTTTAATTTGTCTGTTTCTAAATTTGACAATTAAGTTTCAATATAAAATGAAAAGCATCCTTCCATCAGTCCATCAGTGTTGTCACACCAAAATTTAAATGTGTTCAAATTTATGTTGATTTTCATGCAGACTATTACATTGTATTTGCATTATACGACACAATCCATTTTATATGTCAGCAAGAATGAACATCAGAAAGAGCTCTTGGTCTTGCAGGGGTGAGAAAGAAAGGGTAATGAAGTCACTGGGACAAGAAAACAGAATGGGGGACTTGCAGGAAAAGGGAAGGGATCCAGGGGAACAGCAGAGATTAGGAATGAATGAGACCAAAAGGAATGACATGTTTGCAGAAGTCATGCTGAAACCCAGTAATTAGTATGCCAACACAAGAGTTATCAGAATACTCAAAATCATAAACATGGGAAAGATCTTGTAAGGAAGTAAGGGAAGTAACAGGGGTTGCAGGGAGGTGGAGTCGGAGGTCATAAGAAACAAAATGCATGACATAGATGTGTGAAATTGTCAAAGAACAAAGTCAAAGAAAGTTAAAATACTATACTTTAAAAGAAGGGACTGGCTAGAGATAGAACTCAATGGTAGATCACTTGCTTAGCATGCAAAAGGCTTGCGGTTAATAATTAGTCACAAAACAAAACAACAAAAAAACCCTAATCTCAATTTTCTGTAATGAGAAAAGACAACAAATTATTGTGCACTAAGAAAGAATTAAAACATCAGATTTAAAGTGGTACATACTCTACTAAAAAAATCACTAATGTAAAAAAATTGTAAAAATGTAAATGTGACCTAATTGGAAGTTGAAAATGAAGTTGTGTTGTAGCAACTACTGCATGACTAAACTAATATTCACATGGCTGTATCATACATTAATGGAATGAAACATTACTCAGAATTGGAGACTTCAAAATGTGGGTTTTTCATCACCATTGCTCTGGAAACTATGAGCATGAACATCAGGGTAAACAGGTTTCAAGAACTTGAAATCACTGGTATCAGAAGAGCCTCCCATCAGACACACCTCATACTGGTAGCTCTGGGACAGGGTGCCCATGCCGCTGACATCCACCAGGTGGCCAGGAAAGTGTCCCTCAGGCACAGAGCAGCCACCCAGAGAGGCCGCCCTGGCCCTCCTGCACAGCCTCACCCCCAC